CCCATCCTCCAGACACTGCCACCCCAGTTCCCCTCCTGCACATGGAGTTCAGTTCCTCCAGACTGGCTGACTTACCAGAGGAGCCAGTCCTGAAATGAGAGGGCCCAGCTTTGCCCCAATGTCCGTAAGAAACAGCTTACCAGGTATTTGGAGGATTAAGTGGAAATATTTGGTGAACTGTAAAATAAAACATCATCGAAATGCAGATTTTCACTGTTACAGATCGCCTCTACTGAACCTAGTCCTCGCGTCCTAGTGACTCACTGTCCCTGGGGAGCCTAGCTCACTGTGAGCTCGGTGCCTCTGTTCACCAGCCACCCGTGGATTTCATTCTCAGGGAGTTGGTGTTCATGTGGACTGCTTAGTGCTGGGCCAGTGTCTGCTGTTTGGTGTTTGAGACATCTGTTGTCTTCATTGGTATTTTAGTATCTTGGCCTCCCTGGGCAGCATGGTAACAATAAACGGTATCTCCTTCAGGGTCTAGGATTCTTCTTTGTGGGTCTTGCTAGTCTCAGAAAATCCAGTATCCCAGTACCCCACTCTCTGTAGACAACACAGTTAAATTTTCTATCAACTTAAAGCTTCCTCTATCCCCTGATCAGCTAACCAAAGAGCATTTCTGCAATTATACAAGTGTGAAGACTATTACAATTAACATTTGTTCACAGCACTGCATATATTATGTTATAATTCTCATTTTTGTCTTCCTATTAACTCATCACAATGACAATCATCATTAAAACACCATGAACTTAAAATGAACTCTCATCTACCAAAGTAAACCACCAGTACCCTACTTGGTAAGGTGCTGTCTCTCTTAAGTCACACATCACTGATGAAAGACTCTCTTGTTTTTACCCTCAAGCCATTTTACTTGTGACATCATCACATCATCAAGATGGGAAGACCTGCTGGTGGGGTGAGAGCATCTAATTGTGACCAGCCTGTCCTGGGGGGAAAAGATGCCCCAACCCAGATGAGCCCTGCAGTGGTGTGTTCTCGGGGCTCTTGGGTCTTGAGGTGCACCTTGAGAAAGCTGACAAAGAATTGTAGATGGTGCTGCTCTCAGGTGATTCTATTGACCAATGCCACGTAGAAAGTTCTGAGACCTTCCTTTGTTTAACAAACATCTCTTGAGCACCAAGCACTATTCTAGGCACTGGAGATACAGGTATAAAAGGTCAGCAGTCCCTGATCTCAGGGCTGAAATTTGCCTTCTGATTCAGCTACAGTTTGTGGTGCTGATGTTCTCATTCTGTTTGAGTTGCTCACACCTCCCTGTGATGTGCTCAGTTCGCCACTTGGATAGGGGAGTCTAGAGATTGGGAAAATCAGGGCTGGACATAAAATTTGGGTATCATTGCACAGACATTGACAACCGTAAGTCTGAGGCCACTAGGGAGACTGTGGAGGCCGAGAAGAAAGGATCCCTGGGGTTGCTGACCTTCAGAAGTGGAGGGGAAGAGGACCCGGCAGAGGAGCCTGAAAAAGCTGAGACATGAAGTAGGAAAAAGACCCCTCAGATCCTCCATCCTGCTCTTTCTGTGTGTGTCATGCTGCAGAACTGGCCTCTAAAATGTAGGTACATGTTGAGCTGGGAGACTCAGGACAGAGTCCATGTCATCACCCTATTCATCTGGCATGCCGCGGAAAGGAGCCCAGTCTATTTTGGACCCAACAGCAAGGATAACCCGTAGTCATTCTGCAATGGTCCCACCACATGCCCAGGGCCTTGCTCAGCCCTTCACACTTCAGACGGACCTTTGTCGTGGTCACCCACAGAAGTCACAAGATTACTTCTCCTAAGAGTTGTAGCTTAGGTCTACTTAAAAAACAAATGTGCCCCTGAACCTCTAAATAACACAGTGATGGCTTACCATTCTGCAGAAGGAGTGCCGTCACCTTTCCATTTAGTCACAGTGAACATTTACTGAGGTTCTAAAATATATGTAGAGCACAATGCCAGGGGCAACAGACAGTACAAAGATGAACACGATGTGAGTCTGGCATTAAAGAGTTTATGTAATCCATTTCTAAGGATAAGAAAATAGTTCAAGGTTAAAAGTACTGGGAGGCTTGAGACCAGAACTTAAATTGTCGTTGGTTCCTGTCAACTTGTCTATCAAAGGAGACTGTGAAGTGTGGGAGAGAAGAGCCTGCCCAGAGAGGCTGGTTTGTTTCTGAGGTGGCGGTGCAGGCGTGAAGGAGCCCACCTGGAAATCCAGCAGAGCGCCTACCCAGACGCAGAAAGTGGACAGTGGCTCAGACTGGGGAGCGAACGGCAGGGGTCCTTCCTTCCACTGAGTGCTCGGGGCACACCTGACACTACGCTTCAGATGCCGCAGCTGTGGGGACGGCCTCTGTCTTGTTCTTTGCTTTATCCTCTGTGCCTGGCAGAATATCTGGGGCTGGTTGTGCTCAATAAATACCTATTGAATGAAGGAAATGGTTTATATCTGGGAAATCTCATGTATCTGGGAGAGATGGCTTTTAATCTCTCCATTTCATCGATGATGAGGCTCAGAGAGGTTTATAAGCCTGCCAGTTTGCGGCAGCTAGTGAATGGCAAAGCTAGAACCCAAACTTAGATCTGTTTTACTCTAAAGCCCACACTGTTGATCACTAAATATATTAATTTTGCTGGTCCAAATAAGACAAATGTTATTATTTGTGTGTGTGTGTGTGCATGTGTGTTTACATACACATATTTATTTATTTGTTAGGGGCTTTTTGTATGGTAGGCCCCTAACATACTCTAAAGGTTTTGCTCATATTTAATCTTCTTAACGTTTAATCCTCACTACCACCCTGTAAAGTAGGTGCTGTTATTAGTCCCAGTTTACAACCAAGGAAACTGAAGCACTGTGCTAAGTAACCTGCCCAGCCAAATTGGTTCCTGAGCCTCTGCCCTTGATCACTGTGCTTTATTGCCTCTCGACCTGCCAGTGAATTTGTGTCTGTGTTTACAAACAGTTATGATTTAGTTACTTTGGGTTAATTCTTTTGTTTATAAAGTCCAGATTTCTAAACTCTGTTCAAGTGCTGCCTTGACTGCAGCTGAATCCAGTCACAGATTCTGCTGCCCAGGGGGCCACACAAGAGATGTAGTTAGAGATGTGAGATTCAGGCCTGTTACACACAGGCAGTTGGGAAAAAGAGAAAAATACACAGAAGTTACTGGGATCTGAAGAAATATGCTGAGAGTTTTAGAAGAGGTACAATGAAGTGCTCTAGGACAACAGGCATCTAGGATTGAAATGAGAAGAAAAGGGAGAATGTTGAGAGGACTGAAGGCTCCTAATAGAACTCAGCAAGGTGTGCGAATATGGCAGAGGCCCCACTGCAAGTTGCAGTGGAAAGAATCACCCTTAGAAGTGTCCCTTGGCCCTTCGTCTGACGCAGATTAACACCAGCAGAGACTGGGGAAACACAGGTACCTGAGGTTGCCAGGAATTTCTGGGAAAAGACAAGAGGTGGGAAGCATGTAAAAAATATACAAGTTTCATTTTTCCTCTCACAATTCATTAAGGGAGCTGCAGTTAGCTTTGAAATCTTGAATTCAGTAAGCGACAAGAGGAAAATGAAATGCTCTGTTTCAGACTTGCACACCCACCCCTGTGAAGCGTGAGCCCTATACGGGAGAAGTCATCACAGTGAAAGCTGGAGGGACGAAAGGAGACGCCACGGCTGGGCCCGGGAAACAGGCCCGCCCCTGAGCCGGGTGCCTTTGGTAAGGGACAGTGGGCAAAGCCTTCCTGCAAGATGGCACATAAAATTAGCATCTATCTCTTCAATTTAAAAAGTCCAAGGTCAAGGTCAAAGCCTTTAAAGTGATGTAAGGACAGTTTAGCCAAGGGAAGATTGATAAAAGGCCTCTTGACACAGAACACTTAGATCAGCCTCCAGACTGAACAAGGCCTTGGGCTAACTCAAGATTTATTCTCGGAGATGTCAGGAAACATGCGGTGTAGCCTTGAAGAATCAAACAGGAGCAAGAGGCATGCAGGCTGGTAACATAGAGAGGGACCTGTTATTGAGGAAATCTGGCACTACTTAAAACAGAGAGTAGAATTTCATGGTCAGAATATATAAAGTATTTGATTAGGACTTTATCTGGTTAAACATCTTCACATTGTTGAAGCAACTATGTTCTAGAACTTTGAATGAAAAATGAGCCAAATGTTACTTTTGGGGATATAATTTTTCAGGAAAATTGATAGTGTTTGAGGTACTTTATTTTACACTTAATTTTTAGAATAATATTATAGATAGAGTCATTTTGGAAAAAAATATTTGAGTTCTGCATCAGTTTTCTCTAAGACTTTTGACATTGAGATGTTTCTCTTTGGAAGCTCCTGTTATCCTCATCCTTGTCAGTTTTCTTATTCTACAGTTGTTTTCTGATTCTGCTTTGCCAGATGCCTATTTGGGAGAAGCTTTGCTGTGATTCAAGCACAAACTTCTATTTGGGAGAAGCTTTGCTGTGATTCTCCAACATCACGTCCACTGTCTTCATGTAATCTATGTGTTTTGCTATTGCAGTTTCACTCAACTCTAAATTTTTTTGAATTTATGATATGTTTTCAGATGTTTCAACACAGCAATCTGCAAAAAATCAACACAAGAATCATGATGGATGGGGATAGATTTTGTGTTAATTTGTGACACTGTTTGGACTAGTTTTATACATACCTAGTTATCTTTGGTACATTTCCACATTACAATAACCTGTACTTCCCTACATAAACTCTCTGACTTGAATGAGGCCCTGTACTCCCAATAAATAATATTGTGAGAGTTCAACAATGTTGTATAGCCGAAAGTGTCAGCTTTTTTGTCATTTCTTGACTATTGGAATTATTCTTCCAATCTAGGAAGATTGTGTTAAAAATTCAGAGGAAGATTAGCAAGAGAAAAAATGTCTGTGGCTTGCTCTAATATGCTATTAACAGCATTTGTAGGAGCGGGATGGGTGTTTACTTTGATTATAGCATTTCTTGGGGGTTAGGCTTGAGTTCTGCATCTCTTTGTGAGGGAGAATATTACACTGAGTTCCTTTTATTCTCTTCAAAGGTAAAATCAGAGAGAAGGATGCTGCTCTTCCCATCACAGTTAAATGTTGTCAGCCCATGGGGAAGCAGGCCTTATTTCAACTCCCCAAGATCCTTTTGAAAAAATAATGGCTCTAGGTCTCTTTGATTCCCTTTCAGAAGCAATTCTGTCTTCCTCACTGTGACTGTTGCTGTGTAAGATTGAAGATATAAATGAATATTATTGTGATGTAAAGTCTGTGTGAAAATTCATTGATGACACTTTAAAATGTCACCTTGCTTGTGCTAGATTTCCTACCTTGAATTTTTTAAAATTACTTTCTTGTTTCAGGTTTTTTAATGGCTCCATTTGCTTAAAAATAGCAAACTCTGTGGTTTTACGTTCTATTATAATTGATACACATTTGGATCTTCATTGAACTAATAAACATTTACATCTTTAGTTTATGTTCTGTTATCTGAGTTATGTGTATCTTCTTCTAACTAGTAGGATTGGGACTCTGGGAGGTTGGGTTTGATTCAAAAGCATAATTTCCTGGGTGACATCTGCTTCAGCAACTCCTGGAAATCAGGTCCCTCAGCAACCCCCAGGTACTCAAACTAGACACTCAACCTCAGAATAACTCCAAGCAAATTATCCCATCACACCGATGAGAGCAGGATTTGAGGGAACTCAGTGGCATCAGCACTGCTGAAAGATGCACAGAGATCCCCTCCCGCCCGTGGCCTTCCTGGTCTGAACTGTAACTCCTCTGTCTGTGCAGGGAAGCTGGGCTTTTATTTCTTCGCCTGGGCAACTAGGTCAAGAGGGATTTTAAAAACATGGAGTAAAATCAGGGCAATTATACTCTCATTGCAGATACATCTGCCCCTGACTAGCTCACTAAGATCAGGGGTGTATTCAAACCTTTGAAAAAGAGTGGTAGGAAGCCAGTTTATTCAACTGGGATTTGTTTTGAACACGCAGAAAAAAGGGTGGTAAACAACAGCTACAGAGATTTACAGGTCTTTTTTCTCAAGTAAGAGATACACTAAAATATTTTCTCCTCCTCTTTGGTTGACAATAGAAACTCCACATTAAGAAGACTGAATTCTCTGAAAAGGAATAATTAAATTGCTTTCTTATATAGAAGCCAATTCCCACTCATCCTTTAGAATTCAGCTTAAATGTCACCCCTTCTCAGAGGCTTTCCCAGATGGGCTTGACAGGCTTCTGTCCTGCTCCCCCATTGCAGGGCTGACCACGTCCACCACTGCAGCACCCAGTCTCATTGCATTATAACCACTGGCTTTCTGGTCTGTCTTCTCCAGGAAACTGAAAGCTCAGGGCAGGGCCTCTTTGGTTCGCTACTATGCTCCTGGCATCTTGCAGAGTGCCTGGCAATTGATGGTCGTCCGATGGATATTTATTAATTTTTAAATAAAGGAGGATGTAAAAGAGCTCCTGTTAAGTCCCTAAAGTGATGTCGATGAACTTAGTGAGAACTCTTCACAAAATAGATACAAATTTTGTGGAGTATTTTAGTGTAAGTGTGCTTTAAATGAAGACTACATTATCTATGGATAGAGCTGTTTGGGGGAATGAAATGGCTCTAGGGTTTGGCATTAACAAGGTCATTCAAAATGAAGGTGGGGATCCCTTGTTGCTTTTATTAGGCTTTGTTGAGAATATTTTTCTAGAAACAGTTGTAAATAGTATAAGTCAATAGGAAAACATGATACAAGCTATTAATATTTAAAGGAAAGTTTTTCCGGATCACTTCTGGTAAAGTAAGATCCCATTCTCATAAGTGCATTGTTAAGGTCTATACAAATAGGTGGAATTAGTAGCATTCCTTCCTCACATTTATGTGCCACCACCTATCCCTACTGAGCAATATGAGGTACTGGAAAGCCAAAAAATTGTGAGCTCTGAATTTCCATTTATTAGGTGTGAGGCCTTGAGTAATTTTTAACATTAAAATATGAGTGTATTAAAACACACAAAAAGCAAAAAAGTGAACATAATCACACCTGTTACCTATCACCCCATTTAAGAAATACAACTTCACCAATAAAGCTGCAGGGTCCTGTGTTCCTCTCCCTTTCCATTTCCCCTTCCTCCCTGTGGTTCTGGGAGGAAGGGATTTCCCTGCCCGGGGCAAATTTTCTATGAATCTGGTGAAGGAAGACAATGGAATGGGTAGGTTGGAGGTTAAAGGTTTGTTTGTCATGGCTCAGTCTCGCTTCTGCATGGCACTCTCTCTGAGCCCCAGCTGCCCCACTCTCTCTCTCCCTGCACTGTGCCCCACCTCCCTTGGCTCTCTACCATGCGCTCCCTCTCCAGTCATGCCACGCTCTGCTTCACGCCGGCCCCAACTTACTGACAGGAACTCCGTGGGCGGGTCCTTAGTGACTGGCAGGCACCTGACCAAATACATATCAGGAAAGGAGGGGAGGGGAAAGTGGTTGCTGCTCCCCACCCCTTACCCAGGACCTGCAATCCCCTGACAGACACACCACCACCACCACCACCACCCTGCCATGGTAAACATCACCCTGATATGCAAACAGGTGATTATATACATATCACTATCAAGGCCAGGCAGGAATTCTGGTTGAAAACTTCTATTTACCCACACTCCCCCAAGGTACCCAGGGTCCTGAATCTGTTGTTTTTTCCCCTGCCCATCATTGATACCTTTCCTCTACAGGTACATATTTCTAAGCACTAACAGTAGGTGGTTAAGCCTTATAAAAACATTACATAGTATGTACTAGTTTTCTTGCTAGTTTTTAGTATGTATTGTTTGATCCCTGCTTTTTCACAATCAAGGTGTTCAAGAGTTACTTGCTTTGACAGGTCTAGCTCTTGTTATCCATTTTATTGCTGCATAGTATTTCATTGGGTAACCACATCACCATGAATTTACTCATTTTCCAGTTGATAGGCATTTAGGTTGTTTCCATCATTTTGCTATCAAAACACAGGCTGCTATAAGCATTTTTATATGGATTTCCCTCTGTACACTGTGGGAGGTTCTCTAGGGGACATGCCTTCAGTGTGGAGGCTCCTAAGGTGTACATGGCCTCCCCTTTCTTAGGTCCTGGCAGACTGTCCTCCCAAGTGCAGTCCTGCCTTCAGTAGCAGAGGGTAGGTCTTTCTGTTACTCCACATTCTCACCAACATCGGATATTGTCCAATTTCTTAATTTCACTACTCTGATTTGTGGAAAAGGTATCTTACTGGAGTTGTGATTTGCATTTTCCTGAGTCCAAATAAGGTTGAGCTCCTTGTCATTGTGCAGTTTAATTAAACTTACTATGCTCAGTTTCTCCATTTATAAAATAAGAATAATAGGTTGCTGTGGAGGTTATGAAGCCCATACTGTATGGTCAGCACATGCCAGTTAGGATTATAATGCTAATAGCCTATGACAAAACAATAACAATGTGATCCCTGGAGACTGCCAAAGTCTTGACTCTTCTCTTCCTGTGGGGAAGCTCACCAGGCTTGGTAGTGCCAGCTCCTTTGGCAGCTAGGGGCACATGGACGCCAAAACTAGAAGGGCAGAATGAGAGCAGGCATAGGGCAGGAGCGTAGTGTGGGTCTGGAGAGGGCTCTGAGGTCAGTGGCCCTAGGCCTGGCACCACAGGAGCAGTCTAGCAGGGGCATGGGTGGGATGGGTGGAGCTGGCTCTCAAATGCCACCTGCAGGTCCAGCAGGTCCCCAGCTCAACATCTCCAGCTACAGCTGGGATGTCTTTCCCAGTTGTTTCTCCTCCCTCTGCCTGCCCACTGTCCAGGAGGCAGCATCCTGTAGGGGAAAGATCATCGGCCTGTCACAGGCTCTAAAGCCGCAAAGGCTAGATTTGAACCAATTGATCAACATCCTTGATCCCCTGGACCTCAGTCTCTTCACTAGTAAGGTGGGAACAATTCCTACCTCCTTTGCAAAGGTTAGTTGCCTCTAGGGTTTGTGGGAGAATTCAATGAGATACGGCATAAACGCTGAACATGGTGCTGGAGCAAAGAGTAAGCCCTCAATCCACATTAGCTACTGTTATTTCTTTGAGCTTGAATGCTTTTTTGTTTATTCTATGTTGAGGCGGAACAAGGCCATCTAATGCCACCTTAGGAAATTTCCATCTCCTCTGAGTCATGGTTTATGGCCATTGTTGCTCAGTAGTACAGTTACAAAATGAGAACTAAAGCACAAAGCAGATCTCTCTGTGGAAGAGGTTCCATAGTGATTGACTATGATCTTCCCATTTCCTTCTGTTTCCTCTCCAACTTAAAAGTGAGGTGTGGGGAAGCCCATCTTATTGCCCCAGTAATTTATGAAGCTACATGAGAAATGAAACTCACTGTGTATCAAATTTTCTCACAAGCCAACTAAACATAAGTCTGTCAGTCTCATAAAATATATTATTTGAGTTAATTATTAGGGAATGAGATGTTAACAATAAATGGAATTAAACCATTTCTGCAATCAGTTCTTTCAAAGTCATAAATGTTTTGAAATTTTATTTTCACAAAAACCAAACTTGAACGCTTGGAGTTTATGTGTCAGAACCCATACTAGAATGGGAAGAGAGAGGAAAAAACATTTGTTTGTTGGACGCATTCAAACGTGGTTCAGACTTAAACTTCATTCAGACAGGAAATGAAAGAGTCACAGAGATAAAAAGACCTTTCAGCCCCACATAAGAGAGAGGAAGCAATGTGGCCCCATGGCTATCCTGCCCTCAGTTCCACTCCTGGCTCCACTACTCACTGCTAGCTCTGCTCTTGGACAGCGAATATTTATTGTTTATTATGTGCCAGATATTGGCACCAGATATAAAATTATAAACAAAAGCAGATATGGTCCCTGCCATTCTGGGAAAAGCAGATGTTGATCAAATAATCACAAACCGGCCTAAATTTATAATGATTCCAAGGGCTGCAAAGAAGAGGTATACAATGAAACAAGAACCTGAGAGAGAGCTGATGATTTGGAGAATGGTCAGGAAGAGCTTCCCAGAGAAGGTGATGTATGAGCTGAGACCTAAAGAATAAGTAAGAGATAGCCAGGAAGAGCAGGGCAGAGAACATTCTATGAGGCTGGAGATGGGGAGGCCAGGACCTGGTATTATGAGTAAGGGAATGAAGGCTGAAGAATCTGATGGCAAAGAGAGAGAGAAGCACTGGAGAGGCAGGCAGGAGCCAGGGCAGTGTTTCTTCATCCTAAGAGCAATGGGAAGCCTTTGAAGGATCTTCAGCAGAAGCATGGCCTGATCACCTGATCAGATTTGCATTTGGTAAGGATCGCTGGAGCTCTAGTACAAAGGGTGGATTGGCTTGGAGGGCAGCAGAATGGAAACTGCAGACCAGAAAGGAAGGAAGATTAAACAGCTCAACTGTAGCAACCTCTTAACTTACTGAAATAACAAGACATAAAGGCTAATTCTTCTGGACCAGAAAGC